CAAACATATTTCTAATCTTAATAATTAATTTTCAGTAGTGCATATTTATGTTTAAAATATTTTGCTTGTTTTTATCAGTTTCGATATTTCGGAAGGAAAGACAGATGGCATTGATTCGTCAGTCACATGTCGAGTTGATATCGAGAATGTAAAGAATTGGCAAGAGGTTATGAATAACCCAGGTCAGAGTTCAGATAATCGTTATTCTTATTATCATTGTTGTTATTATTTATCTATAAATATATTCCCCATGAAAGTTAATATTTTTATGTATTATTATTGTTGTTATTACTATTATTACATTTCGATGTGTGTTTGCATCAGCAAAATATCATTTCCCCAAGATTCAACACTAGCCACATCATCCACATTAATGCTAAAGTTAGTTTTATACTTTCTTTACTCATTGAATATTTTAATGCAGCAGCATTTCAATTATTTTGTAGTTTGTTTCTTTCTGTAGAATATGAACTATCACAATTTATAGCAATGGAAACAGCAAATATTTTGAAGAAAACACCAATACCAAAATCTTCATCAACATCATTAGCGTCATCATCAACAGTAGCAGCAGAGGAAGTAGTGGAAAATGAAAAGACAGTGAAAAAGGTTTATTCTCTTGAACACGAATTAGGAGATGATGAAGGTTTATATTGTTTTTTCTTTTTACTTTCAATTTGCTGTTGGCTGATTAAAATTAATGTATTTCAATTGAATTTATATAATTTTCATTTGGAAAGAAAATTTAGCATGAGTACACAAATGCCATGGTATCAGGCATCGCTTTCAATGCCATTTCCTATTCTATCTCCCCTCTCAAATTACTGTTCTTATTTTCTCTTTTTTTTTTAGAAGGGGTGGGGCTCTAGCCCTCATGTCCTCTAGTTCTGCTGCTGTATTAGCCGAATATACTGGTTCTGTAATTAGCTTATTCCTGTAAGTAGTAGCAGGGTTTTTTTTATTTTAATAGTTGATGGTAACAAATTACCAAAGGATGTGAACCGTCTGGTGAATACTTACATGAAATGGTCAGATGGAAGTCTTGAAGAAAAGTGTAAACTGCTGTTTAGTATTTGGGATTTTGCTGGCCACTACCTCTACTACACTATGCACCAGGTATTAATCAATTTGTATTTGTTGTGTATGTCCTCCGACGAAGGCAGCTCTCTGTTAATGACACTATGTGAGGTGTGACTTGTTAGTGAGATTCTAATTATCTGTGTCCACTTTCTGTATAAAATGTCCACAACATTGTCCACAACATTATATAGAAATAATTCAGAGTGAAGCCAAGCACTGGTCACTTCAGTCATACAAAAGCCTGTCTGAATATCGTAACCAATTTTGACATTTGGTAAAAATGCACGATGTCAAAAAGACAAATAACATTGGCATGATGAAGATGATGATGATGAAGATGTTGATGATGATGATGATTGTGGTGAATATTGGACTTTACAATGTGTTTGACTTTATAGGTGTTTTTGTCACCCCGTTCAATCTACTGTGTTGTATTCGATGCCAGCAAAAACCTATATGCAAAAGCAGATCTGGATTTCTTTCCAGTCGGCTCGTATCAGGTAGAAAATTCAACAATTTTTACTATTTCTTTAGTCATTTGGTGCAAATCGCACTACATTACATTCTTGATTAGCAGCGGAAAGTCCCTACAATGTCCTGGCCCTGTTATTTGTACACACATATTAAGTCTAAAGTGGTCATTACTAAAATCAAAATCCCTTGTAGTACTCCGTCTTCTTTTGTTTGCACTCAACATCCCCTTCCCAGTCAATGGCGGATTCAGAGCGCAGGAGAAGTGAGGTGTATGAGACACATTTCTAACATTTTGACTAAGTCTATGCTGGTAGTTTAAAAAATTGCACCTACAGAATTACAGAAGTGGTCCTGTGGATATGTTTATTCAACATGAAACCTGTGTTTTTAATAGCCACACATAGGCCTAAATGTTGAACTCTATTGCTAATTGTATATAGTATTTTCTAGCCTATTGTTGAGGAATTTACACTCAACCATGAGATGACTAATCTAGAGTTCCTGAACTTTTGGATCAGCTCTATATTCTCACATGTGAAGGCAAATGAACAGGAGCAAGATGGCGACGGCCTCCTTAGCCCGCCGGTATTCATTGTCGGCACCCACCTTGACTGTATCCCAGGGACCGATGAGGAGAAACAACGCAAGGTATACGAACATAATTTATACAGTATGCTTGTACAATTTTGAGTATCTTAACAAAGGTGATTATTATTTGCCATATTTGCCATAATAATATCATAATAATTATTATTGTATTGTAATTTTATGTTGTTGACATTGTCATTACTATGGATGTTGCAACTGACAAATTAGTAATAACATTCCCACTTGATGATGTGGGGAGGGGGTAGGGGGCCTAAATGAAAACAGCTTTTTAAATGAGACTCTTTTTAAACTACATAAATAGTAAGTTGTAGTAAAAAGAAGATAGTAGTTAAAAGGTATGCCTTGTACAGTATATTCATTTTTTGTTTACAAGTTTACAAATAATGCATTTCTAATCATTTCTGTCGTGGTATGTTAATTTTTAGCTCGATGAAATCTCCAAAATTATCAAAGATTACCTTGGGGACAAAGCATACAGAGGCCATGTCGTACCTCAAATATATTTTGTGGACAACAAATTCCGACAAGGTGAAAGTCTGAAGAAATTCAGAGAACATGTGGAGGAAGTAATGCGCAAACAGCCGTACATGAATAAAATGATCCAAGTATCTTGGTTCCGATTCCAGAATCATGTGATGAAACTGCGAAAAGAAACTAACTACATAACACTTAAAGAGGTAACATATATAGTGTATAAACACTTATCATTAAAAGCAAAACATTATTGAAAAAAATGAGAATAATAAAATGTGATGTGCTGTCACTTCTTAAAGGCAATGGAAATTTCAACACGCTTTGGAGTCCAGAATGATGATATATTTGACATGCTTCAGCTATTCCATGACGTCGGAGTCGTTGCTTTCTATGGCGAACGTAACAGTAACAGTGAGGCATTCAACGATATTGTTGTGCTTAACCCTCAATGGTTGATCATCATCTTCACAAAAATCATCACCATCAACAAAGATGAAGAAAATGTATGTTGATTGGCTTATAATATAATACTAGTTAGTAGATATTTCAACTAAGTCCTTGTATATTGTTGCAATCATTTACTGTCATTTTTTTTTTATCTCATTCTTTATGTTGTCTGCATTATTTCTATCAGTATCACTGCAGTTCTTATAATTATTTAGAATTATATCTTAGGCTACAACATTTCATAGTGTATTATATTTAAAAATAGGAAAACTTATTAAATAAATCTTGCTTTAAATTACACAAATTTTTCATTTTATCATTAGTGGCCCGCATATAAAAAGTACTGGAGTAAGCTAGAGGAAAAGGGAATTTTGGAGGAGAAACTAGTCAACCACGTTTGGTCTAAGTTTCCTAAAAATCAAAGAGAATCACTTCTTCAAATAATGGAAAGATTTGACTTGCTGTGTGAAAATAAGGTTCAAGTGACTTAAAGATATTTATTTTCAATCTAGTAAATATACTCTATGCGTAATAAACATGAAATATCTTTTTAGTTTATCGTCAACTTCTAATATTCTTTGTGTTTTTCTTTTCTCAATATTGTTTGTTTGTTTGTTTGTTTAATTTATTTCTTATTTTTTTCTCATATTTTCTCAATATGATAATATTGTTAGTGCATGTAAATGAAATGATGTAAACATTTTATTTATTATTTGATTTTCTTAGACCGTTGAAGGAGAAACACATTACACTGAAGAAGGTCAGTTCTGTCGACAGTTTTTTGTTCCATGTCAACTGAAACCCAATAAAGAAGACATTGGCAGAGTATGGGAATTAGAACGCAATGCTGTTGTCATCAACATCATTCCCAAAGATAAATTTCTTCCAGGTATGAAGAACTAAGATTACATTTCAAAGTATAAATGTAGGTGAACAAAATACATATTTTGGCAGCAACAACAACTGCATCGGCAAGAACTAAAACATCAGGAACACAACACAGCATCACAACACCAGAAATGCAACATTAGCAGAAGATCAGCAACAACAACAATCACAGAAATAACAATACTAGTAGCAACAATAAACAACGGTTAGCAGTAGCAACAAATGTATTCAAGTTCAGGGCATACATCTATTATGTAAAACAAAAATATTTATTATACATGAAATTAACATTTTGGTGGAAGACAATCTCATATGAGTATGATATCTGAATAGATATAGTTGAAGGTTGGTACAGTAGATATGCATTAAATAGAAGGTTCTGTTTAATAAGAAATCAGTAAAGGGTTGTATCCAGACAGAGTAGAATTTTAACAGTTGGATATTAAATCATCCGCCTAATGGCTGAATGGATTTATCCCAGAAACTTAGAAATACCGGGTTGGTGTCCAGCGGGGGATAGTTTCACTGGTTGTTAAGATATTATGTTTTTGTTGTTTTCTTTAATTCATTTTGTTTTCAATAATTATTTCTCTTCTAAGTATGTATGGCCTTGCACGGCCTTGATGAAAAACACCCATGGGTGATTCAAGTGTCTCCATGTTTAAATAAAGTATATTATTATTATTATTATTCTTATTATTATAATGATGACTGGCTCAAAAGTTTATATTGATCGTTCCTTTTCAGAGGGCCTGTTCCATCGTCTGACTGTGAGGGCAGCGGTTTGGACACAACAGAAAGAAGGCTGTCAATCTAAACAACCTCGTCTATATTATAGACAAACAGAACTGTACCTTGATGAGGACCATGAGCTTATTATGAAAATGCACGTGACAAACAAGGGTGATAGAATGATAAAGGTACCTTGAAAAGATCTACACTATAAAACATTTTTTCTGATCATTGTAATAGTTAATATAATATGTACACTCACTTATCTTATTTATCTGCTGACAAATAATGATATTATATGTTTAATTAAATTTCAGATCATTATCTATTACCCGCCCGTAGGGAATGATGAGAGTAGCAGATTACCAACGCCCTCGATGTGTAAAGAGGTAAGGTTAAATTGGCGGTAAAAGTTTCTGGATGTGTCCATTGTGCCTTTATATATTTGAAAGTCGAGCAAGTCGTTTATCGGAAGTGGAAAAACCATTTTTTTTTTAAGAAAGCCCTTTTCTTTTCTAAAAGATGGTCACCAAATAAACACAATGTAGTATATCAAAGCTTTGGCTGACCATGAATATAAATTTCTTATGAGGATATAGGATTTCTGCATGATATTATGGCTGATCTTGGCACAAAACAGACAACTTAAAAAAAATTGGGGGCACAATTAGTGTGATGTATTTTATCTGTACTTAGAACATTATTTAAACGTGGGAATTTGTGTTTGCAGGTATTCGTATTCCTTCTGAACAGTCTGAAGAACTTGAAAATGATGTGGATGAAACAGATAGACTTTCACTTACATGTACCTTGCTACACTTGCAAGGAATTTGATGATCACCATCATCTTCTGGAAACCTGTCTGAAACAGAAAAAGACTGATTGCGGTAGAAAACGTGAATTGACAACGTTTTGGCAGAATCTCTTTGGTGACACACAAGTAAACCAAGGCAAGTACTTTGGGCTGCCTTTTGAAAAAAAAAAACCTTTCAAAAAAGTCTACCTTCGATGGTTGGATTTGGGCAAAACAATCCTTTTTGGCCTAAAGATGATGGTGATTACAATGATGATGCCGATGACGATAACGATGACTATTTTTATCATAGGCATGTTACAGATTGTTCAAGATTTAAAATTCGTCTTTTCCTAACATCAGTAATATAACAATGAAATCAATAGAAAATCGTCAATTATAATAAAGCAGTACCTCTGTATTGTATTACTATAGTTAATATGGTTATACTAATGCTGGTTCCTTGGTTCGCCAAGTGTGTGATTTATTATAGAATACAGTCCATGCAAATAGGTGCCAAAGGTACAGTACGGTAGTTGGTTATGGCAAGTAGGTAGTGATACAGTTATTGATTTGGTTTGGTATGCTAGATGTACTGAAGGCCAACTCTGTGATTGGTTAATAGTTGATGGTATAAGCTTGATGGTTACTGCTAGAATAAAAATATAACAACAAATTCCAATCGAACACATTAGCTGACTAGCTGGTCTTCAAGTTCTAAATATAGGCCTACTTTAAGTCATACAAGATTCCCACACAGTGTATGCAACTAAGACTTTTAAGCAATTTCTAGACCTAACCATATAGATGTCAAAGGTCACATTAGAAGGACTGCACAGCATAGTTGACTACACGGTGTCGCTTCATGTAGAGTAGAAAATGCGCACTCACGTACCAACATTACGAAACTGCTAACATACATTTTTTAAATCAATACATCAATCAATTTATATCCACTCTGCACAAAAATCAATAGGCAAATAAATACGTAAATGCAATAGAAAGTTATATTCAGTAATTTGCCACAATTTGACAATAAGAATCAACGAGATCTTTCGGTCGGTGGCATTTATAGTGACAGCTATAACT